GGGCCTGATGGCTTAAGTGCAGAGTTCTACAATATTTCCAAAGAACAGTTAATGCCAACGCTCCTCAAATTATTCCATAAAACAAAAACAGGGGGAACACTGACAAATTTATCTTATGAGGCCACAGTTACCCTGAAATCAAAACTGCATAAAAAACTCAGAGACACAAAGCAAGAGAATTACAGACCAATTTCCCTTCTGAACATCAGTGCAAATATACTAAATAAAATTCTTGTAAACTGAATCAATAGAACATTGAAAAGATCATCTGCCATTACGCTTTATCACAGATATGCAGGCATGGTTCCACATTAAAAACAAACAAACAAGCAAAAAAAAAAAACAAAAAAAACAAAAAACAAAAAAAACCCGTCAATGTATTTAAACATATAAATAAACAGAAATAAAAAGAAATCATGGGATCATCTCATTAGATGAAGAAAGGCCTATGACAAAATAAACCACTTCTTCGTGAACATCCTAGAGAGAGTAAAGATAAAGGGGACATATTCAAAAACAATAAAGCAAATTACAGCAAGTCTATAACCAACATTAAATTAAATGGAGAGAAGAACAAAAGAATCCCACTAAAATCAGGAACAATACAAGATAGTCCACTCTCTGCATGATAGTCAATATAGTCCTTCAAGATCTACAAAGCAATGAGACAAGTGAAGATCAAGGGAATACAAATTGGAAAGGAAGACATCCAAGTATCTTTATTTTCATATGCTATGATAGTGTACATAAGTGATATGCATCCCTAAAAATTCTGCTAAGAAACTCCTCCTACTATCTTACCAAAACAGATCTACAGATTCAGTGCAATCCCCATCAAAATTCTGACACAATTCTTTATTTTCGTTTTTTTAATTTTAATTTATTATATATTTATTTATTACAATTTATTCACTTTGTATACCTGCTGCAACACCCTCCGTTTTCTCCTCCCAGTCCCACCCAACCTCCTTCTTCTCCTTCTTTGCCCTTTCCCTAGTCCCCTTACAGGGGAGGACCTCCTCCCCTTGTATCAGGCCCTAGCCTCTCAGGTCTCATCAGGACTGTGTACATTATCTTCCTCTGTGGCCTGGTAAGGCTGCAGCCCCCGGGCAGATGTGATCAGAGAGCCAGCCACTGAGTTCATGCCAGAGCCAGTCCTTGTTCCCATTACCAGGGAACGCACAAGGAAATTGAGCAGCCTATGGGCTTCCTTTGAACAGGGGGTCTAGGGCCTCTCCATCGTGGTCTTTAGTTGGAGTATCGGTCTCTGAAGGCCTTCCTGGGTCCAGGTATTTTGGCTGTTGTTCTCCTATAGAATTCCTGTTCTTACAGATATTGAAAAGATAATTTTCACCTTTGAATTGAAAAACAAAAATCCCAGGATAGGTAAATCAATCCTGAACAATAAAAGAACTGCTGGAGGTAGCACCATCTCTGACTTCAAGTTGTACTACAGAGCTATTGTAATAAAAACTGCATTGTATTGGGGTAACAACAGACACGTGATTAATGGAATTGAATTGAAGACCCAGGAAAAACCCACAACTAAACACCTGATGTTTTATAAAGAAGCTAAAAATACATAATGGGAAAAAAGAAAGTATCTTCAATAAATGGTGCTGGTCAAACTAAGTGTCTGCATGTAGAACAATGCAAATAGATCCATATTTATTACCCAGTACAAAACTTAAGTCCAAGTAGATCAAAGACCTCTACATAAAACCAGATACACTGAACCTGACAGAAGAGAAAGTGGGGAAGAGCCTTGAACAGACAACTTCCTGAACAGACTGTGAATAACACAGGCTCTAAGATGGACAATTAATAAATGGAATCTCCGTGAAACTGAAAATTTTCTCTAAGGCAAAGGACACCATCAGACAAAGAGACCCTCTATGGAATGAAAAACAAAAAAGATTTTTACCAACTCCAAAATATAGTACATAATGAAGTTTTACTCAGCAGTTTAAACCAACATGGTGAAATTTGCATGCAAATGGGCTGAGGGTGTGTGTAGACAGGAGCTAGAAGGATCAGGTGGGGAGGCAGAGGAGAAAGTGCAGGGGAGACTGATGCCACTGTGAGGCAGTTGGTAGATGGTGTGGAAATCTAGCAGAGCAGAGAGTTGCCGTGGAGATCCCTCAAGAACCCAGCTGATGACAGCGGGACCACATTACCAATGACAGCACCCACAGAGCCTCTGACTATAGAGAGGTAGAGCTGGTGCAGGCTTGAAGCCTTTACCCCTTTTTTTCTAGTCTCTTTGGGAAGAGAAGGTACTCTGCAGGCTATATAAAAAGACACTCAGACAACAACCCAGCTACAAAGCCCTCCACTTACAATCTGTCCTGCTTGGGAGAGGTGCTGGGGTAAAGGTCGTGCAGAACTGGTGGGAGTGACCAGCCAATGTTTGGTTTAACTTGAGAGCCACCACATGAACATGCCCTACACTGGCTGGACGGTCAGTTACTGGAGACTGGGCAGTCCACAGTCCTACAATAGAACCAATTACAACTGGCACAAAAAAAAAATCAATGTAGTTATTCCTCATAGTATTGCGATGTACTCATGGATGGTTGCCTTCCCAAATCACTGTCAGAGGCTACCTCCAGGAGCAGATGGGATAGCTGCAGAGAACCATAGCCAGACATTATGTGAAGAGAGATTGTAAATCGGGGGTTTTCACTGGGTGGCTCCGCTCAGAGATTGGAACTTCGTGGAAGAAGGGGAGGAGAGAGTGCAGGAGTCAGAACAGATAGATGACACCAGGAGAACAAGAACATTCAAGTCAACTAAGGAGGAATCACACAGGTTTACAGAGAAGAGACTTGAGCTATGAGCACAGGGATTACCCGGTCTGTACCCGGTCTTCTGTGGGCATGCTATGGCTGTTAGGTTGGTGTTCTTGTGAGACTCTTATTTTGCCTTCCCTTGGTGGTCTTTTTCTCCTTTTATTTTGCCTTGTCTATCCTCAATATGCTGGCTGTCACCTTGTCATATTACATTTTGTTTTGTGCTTTCTGACTGTCATTTCTTGGACACCTGTTTTGGTTTGTTTGTTTGTTTTTGCCTTGTTTTGTTTTTCTGGCAGAGTGAGTGAACTTGGAGAGTAGTAGAGGAGAGGAAACTGGTTGGGTTGTATGAGAGAATAATCTATCTTAAATTAAAAAACTGGCATGAAAACTAAATGTGTGAGTTAAATTTCTTGGAGAAAAAACATTTTGCTTTAGTATACTAATTCATAAGTTAGCTTTCAGCAAGTTTCTGTCTATACTTAATAAAATATGAAACTAAGTGTATATGTGTAATTTTTCTTACATTTTGGGTTATGTTTGTCCTAGTTTGGTTTCTATTGCTATGATAAATACTATGGCAAAAAGCAACGTTGAGGAGGAAAGGGTTTATTTGTCTTTGGCTTAAATAACCTAGAACCCCTGCACAGATGTAGCCCATGGCAGCTCAGTATCCAAGTGGGTTAACTAGTAAGGGGAACAGGGACTGTCTCTGACATGAACTGATTGGCCTGCTCTTTCATCACCTCCCCTGGAGGGGAAAACAGCCTTACCAGGCCACACAGTAAGACAATGCAGCCAGTCCTGATGAGACCTGATAGGCTAGGTCAGATGGAAGGGGAGGAGAACCTTCTCCATCAGTGGACTGGGGGAAGGGTAGGGGAGAAGAAGAGGGAGGAAGAGTGGGAGTGGGAGGGGATGAGGGAGAGGGCTACAGCTGAGATACAAAGTGAATAAACTATAATTAATAAAAAATGAATTAGAAAATACCCTTTGTCACAGTCTATTGAGGGAAACTGAGGCAGGGACTTCAGAAGAGGCCATGAAGGATTGCATCTTGTTGGCTTTCTCCTCGTATTTTGCTCAGCCTGCCTTTTTATACACCTGAGGAGCACATCCTGAGGACCTGCGCCACCTCCAGTGTGCAGTCTCTCATGTCAATAATTACTCAGGAACATATCCCTAAAGTCTTGACTATGAGCCAATTTTATGAAGGCATTTTCTCAGTTGAGGTTCTCTCTTCTTGAAGACTCTAGATTTTATAAAAATTTTAAAAAAATATATAAAACAGCTAGCAAGCACAGCTCTGACAAACACATTCTTCTTTATATATTTTCTGATATCAAGAAAGTTTGGGGGAGGGAACCACAGGGGAGATACAAAGTGAATAAAATATAATTAATAAGGAATTAAAAAATAAAAAAAAGAAAAATGCAAATAAAGAAGAAGAAGAAGAAGAAGAAGAAGAAGAAGAAGAAGAAGAAGAA